ATATAAATTGTGCTGTTCCTTTGAAATATAAACTAAACTTCACAAGAGATGAATAGTAGGATATTTAAAGACACTTCAAAGTAAAGACAGCTCAAAAAACATCTTTTAAATTGGAGGTTGGAAACATTGTATTAAATGCACCCTACCAGAACTTGCTGTGGTCAACTAAAGCAGGATTGAAAGAGAATCAGCAGCATTAAATCCAAACCTCAGGAAGAACGTGCAGTGAGTAATCCTTGAAAGGTATACAAAAGGGGCCTATATAATTATGGATTAGGGAACTTAATTTGAGCAATGGTCAATGGAACAGAAGTAGAGATTTTTTTTCATAACAATGATTAAAATATGCTTTAAATGGAGTAGCCCAGTTAATGACATACAGATCTCTATCCTTGTTCCATGCTGTGAAGAGTGGAGTCCTTGGGAAGAAAAAAGAGTTGGTGAATGGTGCAGGAAAATATGCTATAAGGAACAGAGATGTTTCCATGCCTGATGACAAATTCAACATTCCCTGTGAAGGACAAAATGGGCAATGCCCAGTCCATATTTTAAAATGTGAAAGCCCAATATAGGAAGACAATCTTAAGACATGGAAGAGACTACAGCTCATAATGTAACAAGCTGTATAGGAAGGAAAATGATAACAGTGAATTATGGGTACTGTCAGAAATGATTATGCTTATTATAAAAAATAAAATCACTTACTATAAATGAACATTGGTAAGCCAGAGTCCTATGTTATGTAAACATAAACGACAACACTGACACTAAAATAATTGTGCTTTTAAATAATGAAATCAGAGATTCATGAGCAGGGGATTACTTCATGCCATGAAAATTGCAGATAGAAATTCAGAACTAGGCTGGGGCAATAACTGGGCGGTCTACTCGCCTGCCTGGAAAGTGCAAGGACCTCAGTTTGATTCCAAAACAGCATGCCGTGGTGGCCCTGGAACCCTAGGCACACTAAGCCAGCCACCAAACCTGAGCATGGTGGAGCATGCCTGTAGTCCAGGCTCTGGGGAGGGTGCAAACAGGAGGATTACTATGAATACCTGCTGTTTAGGGAAGCCCTGCACAAAAATACGAAACAGACAAACAAACAAACTAAAAATGATAATCCTAAACTGTGGTTGGCAAATCAGAGAAACTCCTTTTAGACATGTCTGAGATTGTTTTAAGGGGTATGGGGCCTTTGCGAGACCCCAATATTTTAGTAGCTTTACCTCATGCAGGCCTATGAGTTTTTGAGCAAACATGTGAAGCAAACCCCCTATGGATAGCAGGAGGCTACACTTTGGAATGCAGCATTTTATGGAGTAAACAATACAAGGACCTGGAAGGAGAACAGAGCAGCTAAAAATAACCACATGTATACGGTAAGCCAGACTGTGAAAGATGCTATAAGCATGCTTTCATGAAAGAACTTTTGGGGCTGACCAGAAACCTAGGTAGCATAAAACACGTGCTTAGGCAGATACAGCAGCCAAGGGCTCTATGCCCAC